GTTTTCATTACTGATTCTATTTGTGTGGTTTGTCATGTTTATTGATTTGCATATGTTGAGTAATACTTGCATTTTTGGAATTAAAAGAAAGAGAAGATCCAAATGAAGTTAGAGATGAAAAAAGGGAATACTTCAGTGATATCATTGAAATCCATAGGATTGTTAGTCAATATTTTAAAAAATCATATGTGAAAATTTGGAAGAAGTAGTATAAATGGACTAATATCTTGACATATTTGACTTATCACAATTGAACCAAGAGAATGTAAAATTATTTAATAGATCAAGAATATTGATATATAAGAAGTAATAAAAAGTCTTCCAAAAAGAAATGCCCAGCATTAAAAACTTAGACCTCTCTTTTATTATAATTTTAAGGGAGTTACGCCAATCTTCCTTTGAATATCTCATAAACAATAAAGACAAAAACTTTTCTATTCTGACTCTATGATGCCAGTGTTACTTTGATATCAGAACTTCACGAGGACCCAAACAACACAGAAAGAAAAGTATATGAATAATCACAAAAAAATTCCCTAAAATACTCACAGGTTAAATTTGACTAGTTGTTATAAAAATCATAAAGATTGTCCAATTGACTTCCTATTTTCTGGAAGCCTAAAAGGGAGCTATTAGATAACTGAAGGCATTCTTGGTTATATAAATGATAAGTACCACTGACTATAATTTTACTAGAAAGAAAAATATTTTCTTTTCTACTTCAGCAAGGATTTACACTAAGTTGCAACTATTGAGAAAGAGTAAAAATTAATGACCCTGAATCTGATTGCCAGAGATATTAATAGATACATTCTTAGAGACACCAAAACATCACAAAATTCACTTACAAATAAACACTAAGAAACACACTGGAAAGCAAACCCAAAATATGTGAGATCATGAAAAACAGAAACTAGAAATGTAGAAGCAATAATTTTCACATATGTTTTAATGTTGTAACAAAGTATACAGATGGTTTATGTAGTAAACGCCCAAAAATATTCATGAAGAGAGAAACACATAAACTTTAGGACATGATCATATTCAAACAGAGTTCTTTTTTTCGTTTCATAAATTTTGGGACTATTTAGTGTTTTAACAAAACAAAGGACTATATTATAAATGGTACTCTAATTTCGTATTCTGTTTTTAAGTGTAGCATAAGGAACATACTTTAGATATGTATTTTTTATCTTTTTACTTTTTAATCTTTTCATTGGTTTTGTAGTTTAATTGGTTTCATTTCAGAAGAATCATTCACACATCTAACAAAAACATAATTTTTCCAAAATAGAATTTATGAAAATAAATCTGCAATCATTAAAGTTAAAATTTATAGGATAAATACCCAAATGGTAGGAGATAAGTGAAAGTTATTAAAGTTTTTATCTAGAATATACACATCTTAAAGAAAATACAAATGTGTTCCTAAGGTAAATCTTGGGAAGGTGATGGAGTCACGAGAGGAATATTGTTGGTATTATTGGCAGGTGATGGAAATAAGAGAAGGAATTTTATTGAAGAGATTAGATCATGAGGAACTAAATTTGGGAACCATGTCACCTTATCCACTCCTCCTTCTCTGCCTCTTTTCTTTTCTCAGTCATTCCTGGCTGCCATGAATCCAGCAGTGTTTTTCAGTAAGACTTTCTACTGTCATGTTCCTTCTCACTACAAGTCTAAAACCATTGGAATCAGCTTATCATCAAGTTAGAACTCTAAAACCATGAACCAGAAATATCTTTGCTCCTTTTGTTTTTTCAGGTTCATGATTACAACAGTGAAAATCTGACCAACACAGGAATTTATGATATGAGAAAGAATGAGCTTCAACAAGCAAATCTAAAATAATAGGAAATACCAAACATTTACTTGCTTAAAATAAGAACATAAAAAGAAGTATATTGCAGTTCTATTGAATGGTATGTTGACACAGGTATTATTGGACAAAAATCAAGTCTTAGACAATGCTGTGTCCCTCAGTACAGTTATCTAGAGAATCACTTACTTAAGGCGCATTAAAATTTTTTGTTGAAACCTGTTCCTCAAGGTTATAGAACAGAAACTATGTCCTCCTCTGTTTTCAGTTGGGAGTTGCTCTGAATTCCAAATAACCTCTGGCTCTGTGATCCTTATATACACAAACCCCCTTACTCCCTATAATCAAAAAGACTATGCCAAGTACTTCTCAAACATGAAGCCTAATTCAACTTTGGCTGAGTCACTTATGTTACCATTTGGAAACAAATCTCTACATTTAAGAACTAAATGACTACCTTGAGACTACTCAGGAGATAATTCAGATAAAGTATAATACCATAATAATAATACCATAAGATAGTCCATATCATATGGTAAATTGATCAGTAAACACAAAGATTCTTTTACCACCAAAAGTTATCTATTTGAAGCTTCGGGACCAGGGAGATAAACACTTTAGGAACTAAATTTCACTCTCTCACATCTCATGTGACACAATATTAAGAATGAACATTAGACAATATCTAGAAATTTCTATACTTAAGTTTGAGTTAAAAAAAAATCAGAAATCCAGGGCTGAGGATTTAGCTCAGTGGCATAAGAGTCTGCTTGGCAAGCACAAGGTCATGAGTTCGATCCCTGATTCCACAAAAAAAAAAAAAAAAAAAAAAAAAAAAAAAAAAAAAAATCAGAAATCTGAAATACTGAAATATGAGGTTCCAGGAAGACAATTCATAATTATAAAGAAAGTTACTGCCTTTCACCACTTCTAAACAGATCAGATAACTCCTCTCTCATGAAGGTTGATCTGATTTAGATAATGAAGAGAGACTGCTTTGTTTCTTATGAAACTAATTAGAAATGAAGAAAATAAGACATATGCGAAGCGAGTTCTAAGGATGTGATGAAGCACACAGAATTTAGACCCATGATTCACAGTGATTATAATTTAACTGTAAACAATGGAAAGGATTTTATTGTGTTTAATGGGAAATTTATTGAGCTGTATTTATGATAATATGGCTACTAATACTGGATAACAGTGGAACTAGTAACTTTAAGATATATTCATCCATCGGGCACCCAATGGAACTTGCACTTTAATTTTAATAAGTAAAATATGGAAAGTGATTTTTTTCAAAATTTGGCAGTAAAATCAGGTTGTCTGTCTTGGTGACTTATTTTCAATTTATTCACTGTGTTGGAGGCTGTCCTATTGTGAGCTATCCTGTGAAGAAGCTCATGTATTAACAAACGAACAGTCTTTGGAAAACAATCAATGAAGAAACAAAGGTTATTAACCACTATTCTACACTACTCAAAAGCGAGCTAGAAAAGAGATCTGATCTTTCCATCATCACATCTTCAAATGATAACACAGCCCTGTGTGATATCTTTTGTCCTGCGTTGCTTGAGTGAGCTTCCGAGAAGAGTTTATATATTTTTTGCTCTTAGAATTATATCCCCTCATGGAAGTAAAGTATGATAGAAAACAAACTATTGCTATGAATGATCCTGGAATAAAGCAGACTTGCAGAGCCAAGAGCAGGAAGATCCCGATGAGTGTCACATTCAAGGTACAGGATCTGATAATTATTAAAAAATCTCAAAGGTAAACTTGAAAATAATGTGTATGCTTTCTACACTAAACAACATGCAATTTTTTACTCCATAAGCTGACCTGGATAATGACAATTTTCAGTTTTTCATTAAAAACTAGAAATATTAGACATGTGATAGTATGACAGCTAGAATGAAAACACCCAGTACCATGACATGGGTACTCCCATGAAATTACAACAGTAATAAAATAATCATTGCAGATTAGATTTTTATCTATTAGGAAAAGAGATTTTTGTTTAATTTTCATTTTTTCTATTTAATTTTTAATTTTTAACAGTATATAGTTGTGCTTATCAATATACAGAAGATTTAGTGAGGATCGTATCTCTCACTGTGTACTAAACTAAGATCGACATGATCAAAGACATAAGACAGAAAAATTTAATTTGCTGGAGGTTATAACAGACAGTTCTTAAAGATGTAGAAGCTGAGTATAACCAAAACTGTACAAGAAATAAGTACAAGAATTAACAAAGAGAAAGGACCTCATTGACTTGCAATAATACAGGATCTTCCTAAGGTTTTAACACTCTATTCCAATATGATAGTGACATTTCTTATTATTCTTGGCTACCTACTGTTTATGTAAAAAAAAAAAAAACTCTATATATTTTAAATCTGTTCCACTTTTAACTACACCTAAGAGGAATACTAAACTAATACTAAACTCTATCTTTCCCTCACACTTCTTGGGAAACCAGGCTGAGAGAAGTGTAGTGCCACTCCTTGGGGTCCTGATTCAGCCCCACTGCCTTGGCAGGCCTACAAGATGAAATACTTCATTTGTTTCTCAGAGTTTTACAAATAAGTGGTTGAATATTGCAGTGATAGAGAGTCATTTTGAAAAACACCTGGGGTTGGGGATTTAGCTCAGCGGCATAAGCGCCCACCTTGCAAGCAGGCAGTCGTGAGTTCAATCCCTGGTACTGGTAAAAATGAAAAAATGAAAAAAGGCCAAAAAAAAAAAAAAAAAAACACCTGCTGTTCATCTCTGTGCTTTGTTTCTCGTAATCCATCCAGGACGCCATGTGACTTAAACACAAGGAATGCGCTGCCTCCACATTGGTGTTCTTGGGGGTGAGCAAACTGCCTTGACTCTGATGTGATTTAGTGAGGAGATTTCAAGGTCACTCTCAAGGAACTCTCTTTACATAGTTCATACTCACATAGTAGATGGAATCCTCAAAATGAATAAAATACAATGATTCAGATGCTTTTTACGGATGGAATTGTAAGAGAAAACAGTTCTTTAGCATAAACTCAGAAAATTTAGATATGCAGTTTATAAAATTTAGTATAGTTTTTATATAGCATCTGACCCAGTGCGATTTTTCCTTGAACCTTAGAATTCTGAAGAAGCTAGGAGATGGAATGCTATGAAGACCAGGTGAGACGACTGTTCTCTCACAGGAACAATTTATTTTTATTTTCATTAAAGTGATATTCCTATGGCTTTCACTAGAGAGTGATAGACATGCTGACAGAGACTTGTTCTGAAAAACTTTTATATTGAATCATATGACATTAAATCCATGTGCTTTACTTGGAAATATCCTTCTTGAACTGACAAAGGAGAGCTGCCTGTGGTTTCTGCTGGAGAGCAAAACACGAGCAGGTAAGGGTCCTTATGTCCTTCAGCCTTCATCTCATCCCACATCATGTGTCTTCTCTGTCTTCCACATGTGCTGGCCAGTCCCCTTCACTTCCATCTGTATATTCTGCTGTGTATTCAGGGATAATGTCTGAAGGTGCCTTCGTGAAAGCAAACTTATCAGGTATGAATGATATGCATGATTAATATTTAGTAAATACATTGTTACAATGAAAAAGAAATTGTCATTAAACTTCAACCTTCCCCTTGGGGAAGCAAATACCCTCTCTTCGTGATCCTTCTGCAGCAGTTCTGAAAGTCCTAGTCCTCTTCCTAAGTGTTTGTACAATCATGGGTGCCTCCATGTCCTGTTTAATTCAAAATGTTTCAATTTGATGGTCATTTTCACTTTGGAGAAGAATCAGAACTCACTGGTTCCAGTCAGGAGAATAAGGCAGTTGGGGACACACCATAATGATCATAGCCTGCATTCTGTTGGACATCGCTGAGCAGCAACATTTACTGTAATTTCTTCTCCATGAAGAGCACGTCCAGATCTCCTACAGAAGTGATAAGAACAATGGGGTAAGAATGCTTAGAGTGAGGGGAAGTACCTAAGGGGAATCAATGGCTGTGTATCTTACACTGAAAGAAATTATTTTAAACACTTGCCATGCATTTTGACCTCATAAGGAATATCACTGAACTGCTGAAAAGCACGTGAAGGGGTTTCCTTCTCACACAGGGTAAAACTTTTTAAAAGCTTTCCTGTCTCTTCACAAAGCTCGTGTGTTCCAGCTCTTTACCCTGTGTCTAATCTCTTCCTTCCATTTCCTCCTTTTATTCTCCTGTACTCTCCCTGTCTCCATGCAGCTTTTTAAACACTTTTGGCACATTTCGCCACAGTGCATAGCATTTGTCTGTGCTGTGTCCTGGCGTGAGATATACCCTTTATGGCAACCGTGAGATTTGCTCCCCACTCTTTCTCTTCTTTTCTATCTGAATTCCTCATTTCAAACATGTCTTTCATATTTTTTAAATTTTATTTTTATTCTTTTTTTGTACCAGGGATTAAACCGGCCCCACACTTGCCAGGCAGGCTCTGTGCTGCTGAGCTATATCCTCAGTCCTTTCATAATTTATCTATGTCAGACAGTACATCATCCACTGCTTTGTGAACCATTGCTGATCATGTGTTTTCCTGCTGCAATATTATTTTTCTCAACTATAGTAAATGTTTCTGTTTATCTACCAGGAGTATATCTTTAATTATTAGAATTTAAACTTTCTTACAGTCTGGATTTCATTTACTTTGTTCGCCAGTTTATTTTATGCATTTATAACAAAACTTGGGAAATAGTAATGTTGATAAACACCAGTCAAAAAATTTCAATTCTCAAAGTGTTACTGTGTATGAATTAGGCAACAAAGACTATTCTCCTACAATATCCATGTAGATTTATGAGTATCAAAACCCAGAAATAAGAGATGATGCAGATAAATTCTTGCAGTATGGAAATAATCTTTAAAATAAATGCAATTTAAATTATTTTTCTGTAAGGTAGTTTATTAATATAAAATTGTGTAATTTGAAATTTTATGCATATACTAATCATTTGGTTTAAACTCATTCTACTCATTTAAATATTTTCATCAAAAATGTTTGAGCATTGTCATTGAAGCTTAAAATTTTCTGAGTAATATATGAAAGTCTGATGACTGACTGAGCAATCCACCATCCACATTGTGAGCATATTGTGCCAAGTAGATCCCAGCATCACGAGATACAAACATTCAAGTCTGGTAATATTAGAACTACATCATCCATGTGGAATCTCTTCCATTTGGCGCCCAAAGAATTCATCTCTACACAAATAATTCATTTTTATGTTTTGTTTTGTTTTATTTTATTTTTTAATTCCACCCCCCTCGTGTGTCGTGTGTGTGTGTGTGTGTGTGTGTGTGTGTGTGTGTGTGCTTCTGTGCGCGGGAAAAAGGAAAGGGATGGCAAGGGATAATAATATAAATAATAGAAGAATAAATACATTTTTATGCTATGAACTGGTACCCTGGGTCCTTCATTGTTTATTATTTATTGCCTTGGTTTTGATATAACAAAGAACACAGCGTTATCCTCCACATAGTCAAATGTCATTGGACACTGGACCTCAGCATCAATATTATCTTCTCACTGTATTATTTGAAATCAGTAATTCTTTGTACTTACTATTTTCAGTGGCCAGGGAAGAGGTAGAATAGTCTTCCCACGGTTGATCGACCAATAGTAGGCATTTGGGCTATACCATTTGGCTTTTCACATGATAGCTGAACCTAAAACCAAAGACAGGATCTAGATGAGATTGGTTTAAATAATCTCCAAAGACATTTCATAATATAAAACAGATAATTCCAGTTATCAAGGATGCTGATGAGGTTGACGGGTTTATAGCTACAGGTTTTCTAGCTTTCTATCACAATTTCTGATCTCTTAGGACTTTCAGGCCATGTAGGTGTATGGTTTTTATATCAATGCTGTATCCTTAATTCAAGTCCTTTCCATCTCCATCTCAATTTCTGCAATTTTCCAATTCTGAATTACAGACCTGACCATCATTCTTTCAGATCTGTTCAGGAGAAGTGAATCTGTAGACACCTCAAATTTTCTCCTCCCAGGCTGACTCCTCTATCAACTCAAATACCCTCCAATCTGAGAGTCTTTTCTGTCAGGCTTGATTGAAGAACAACTTTCATATTTCTGTCAAAAAGTAGACCTGGACAGGTTTTTGCCTTGACCATAATAAAGGTGAAACACATTAAATGCACTTTTTCTATTCTTTTCTAACTATATTGTTGATATTGTCAGTTCTAATCCATTTTCAAACAGCAAAATATATATTTCAAGGTCTCTATGCACATGAATGTTTACTTCTTCAATAAGGTAATGTATGCTAACCTCATAAAGATATGTCTCTCTTTTCTTACAAGAATATTACTGTCTTCTTTAGTTTTGAATTTAAATGAACCACCCTTCCTTGGGATCTTAAATTAATTCCCTTTTCTGCAAAAGATTAAGCATTTATCCACTTATTTAACTATTTTTCCTTCAATCAACATTATTTACTATTTACTTTGTATCAGGTATTTTGAGATATTAAACAAATCCTTGCTTTCATGAGGCAAGGATTTTAATGATAAAATAAAAATGTAAAAAACAACCAAACACATGAACGTTTACATACCTGGTGAATAAGAGTAAAAGCAATGAAAAAAGTTAATTAAGGATGGGGAAGGAAAATAAAAAACATTCTCAGCTGAAGAAGTTTTCTGCATCATGCAATTTAATTTTATTCATTCTCATATAAGTATAGATCTTTCTCTTTATGGATATTTGATAATCTTCAATCATATATTTATTTTATAACTTACATCTTTTAGAATTCATGTATCTCACAAAAATGTGAGTTTTAGGTAGGATGATTCTTACTGTGGTAAAGCCAATATACAGCCTGTTTCCTAACAGGATATATGACATGTACTTATTTCATACATGAAAAAAAAATGGAAGTTAACTTTATATACTTTACATTGTTGGAGATTCATAGCCTCAAAAAAGCTGATATTTTTATATTGTGTTTTTTTTTTTTTACTTTCATCTCCCACTGTGCAGTATTTAGCTCTTTTTCCAAATTACATTTAATCACTTGCACGACAGAAACGTGGCAGTGCTCCACATTGTCCTGCTGGACAAGTATGCTATTACAGTGTGAAAAGTGCAGAGGGATAGTTTTTTAGGAGTTATTTGAAGGGAAACAGAAACATACTTTCCGGAATATTTCTTGTAGAGGATCACACCAGGCATATTTCTGGAAACCAGTGATAAGTTGTGTGATAAAGTAGGAGCCCTTTGTACTGTCTCGCCAGGAAATGTTATCTATGAAGACACAAAGTGGTATATGTTAGTTTATGGTCTCTTACTGTTTTGTTAGTATTTTGGATTTTTAGACTTGAAAAAGAAGAGATAAGTATAACTAAGGAATTGTCACAATATTTTTATAGGAAACATTTATTTCCTCTACACTGAGTCACTTTTACAGAGAAAAAAAAAATTGGCAGAGGAGTTAAGTGGAATCTTAAGAGAACTCCAGGAGATTGGATGAGTCTATAAGTTATTTACAATGTGTCTTATTCTCATTTGCCAGTCTATGGAACAGGGCTGGCTAGATAATTAGAATTAGCCCATCTATGGGAGAGAAAAATAGGAAGTCAGCAGGAAAAAAGAACTTTCTCAAGTTCCCACAGTGAGTAAGCCTCAAAAAAAAAAAATGACCTTCCAATTCCATGCTGATCTATATTTCATGTCATGCTTTCTTTCACAACATAATAGACAGAATACACAAACTGAGCCAGAGTTTTGGTAATAAAAGATGAAGTCATAGAGATCTACTACTCTACACATAGTGCCAATGACTAGACTATATCATATGTCTAAAGTATGTTCATAGCATAGATCTTTAATACATGCAAACAATAATAATAGAGAAATCAAGAAGATTTCATAGGATAAGAATGTTTTTGTGGCACAGATTGTGACGATGGTTTCTTATATTCATCTGTTATTTTTATACAGTATATCTACACGTTTCTTTGCATGCCATTTTTATCTGAAAGAAATGGGTTTTAGAGTGATACTTGAAAATTGGTAAATTAGAAAATTTAAATATATGCTACATGCAAAATCTTAACCAGTATTCTCTAACATTAGACATAATAATCTACACTGTGCCAGTTTCTTCCAGTTGTAAAAGGGCATCCACATTCCTCTATTTATACAATGACACAACATATGGAGAGATGCATTTGAGTATATTATTTCAGAAAGGATGGCCAATCCTGGGATCTATAAAATATCTAATGAAAAACACTAACTGAATTTATCAGAAAACTTAACCAATAAGGGTTTCTATTAATAATGATTTGCTTTATATTTTAAATATACTTGAGTGTAAATTACCATCTTATGTAATAAAAAATTAAAATCGTGTGTAAATATAAGCAGATCTGACTTCTAAGAGCAGATAATAATTAAAATTTATTGATAACACTGAACATTTGTCTCAGAGTATTAACTTACAGAGTTCACCTTGATTTCCTAGAAGCACTGAACAGTAATCAGAGACCCATAACAACACCCATCTGAACCCTAAAGACACCTACGTGGGGTTGTGGAGTAAAAAATGATAAAATCCTTCTCCACGTGGGTCATATAAACAGCATCTGACTCCAGATTCTCTGATGATTGGGCAAGGCTGTCTTCCAGGGCTGCTGGAGAATCTCTGACCCACATTCCCCCAGGGTTTACTGTGGAGAAAACAACTTTTTTAAAATTTTATTTTAAAGATAATAAAACTCACAAAGCAAAACAGGTAAATCTCATCACATCAAAGCAGTGAAAGTGGCACAAAAACTTTGATGTAGGATAATTGGAAATTAACAATAGCTACCATAGTATATCTTCATTATACTTGACCACTCCATCAGACATAGTAAAATCAGATAAAACAAAACAGAATAAAACCAATCAAAACAGAAAATTGAATAAAGCAAAAAAAATAAATTGGAACTATACAAAATTGGAAAATAATACTGAATTTCTAAAATAGGACCTAAGGAAAGCCCCCTTATTTGATATATTGCATACTGCCATCCTCCTAATAGAGGCTAAAAACACCTTTCAATACTGCTGTGCCTCTCTGAGGACTACCACTACAAGTCACCTGTTTTTCAATGTTTATTTTAAATAACTACACACACACACACAGAGAGAGAGAGAGAGAGAGAGAGAGAGAGAGAGAGAGAGAGAGAGAGAGAGAGAGAGAGAATATTTGGCTTTATCTCTACTGTCATTAAGAAACATGCCAGTAAATAGTGAAGATATCCTGTTGAAAATAGAGAGTATAAATGTGGAAGAAGCTATATGCTGAGATTTGAAAGGAGTTAAAGTCTCATCTACATAATTTCAAAGAATGGCTACCAGATTGTAAATCGATCATATTTGCTTAGAAGATTTAGTTCCAAGTTATCATAATCAAATTTATAATAAAGAATGCATACAAAGACATATTTGATAATAATGTATCCATGACTCATGAACCAACAGTCATTTACCCATCAATAAGGTATAAGAAGATATCCATTATTACACCATAAATGCATCTTATCTTTTAAAATGTTGTATTATAGAATTTAACACATGTTAACTGTTGGAATTAATGTGTGTCACTGTGTCATTTCCACACATTTTGTGTCATGATCATTTCCACTCCGCAGATTCTGTCATCTCTTAATATTCAGTCTCTCAGCTCTCTCCACAAACCAAGTGCCATTTTCGAACAGGTCCTAATCTAGCTTAAATTCATTTACAGTTTGCATAATACCTGTCATTTTCTGTTTGGCTTATTTCAATTAACCTGACGTCTTCTGGTTCCATTCATTTTTCTGTAGGTGATGTGAAATCTTTTTCTTTATGAGTAAACAGTACTTCTTCTTGAGATACCAGGTTATCTTTATCTTTTCATCTGTTGAAGTGCAAGTGAGGTGATTCTGTGCTAGCATCCTCAAAAGTGTTTTCACAAATATTGTTATTTAGAATCTCCTTTGTAAGCTTTCATGTCTTTTGGATACACAATTAACTTTTTGTTTCTTGATCTCATGTTCTGTATATTTTTTTTTTCCCTCGGAAACTCGAGATTATTTTCCATAGTGAAGATACAAATTTATGTTCTTGCCAATACTGTAAAGGGGTTTATATTCCCCCATATTCACCAGTATGAGTGATTTTTGTTTTTGGGAAAATAGTTTTCTGACCAAAATGGGATGAAATATCAATGTCACTTTGACTTGTATTTTCCTGACAGTTAAAGATAGTGAGCATTTCATCATAGGTATATTGGTAAGTTACAGTTTTCCTTTTGAGAAGTATCCATTGAAATCTGCCCATTTTGACTCAATTATTTATCCTTTTTCATTACTTTTTGAGTTCATTATATACTGCATGTATTAATCCTCTGTAAGATGAATAGCTGTTAAACATGTTCTTGCACTCTGTAGCCTGTTTTTTAATTCTGTTCAATATCTTTTTATCAGTACAGGTGTTTTTCATTTGATGAAATCCAATTTGTCTTTTAATTCTTTCTTTTGTTTGAATTGTTGCTGTGCTACACATATAGCAAATCATTGCCTCTGTCCATATCTATATATCTGTACCATATATTTTTTTCGACTGGCCTCAATCTTTCAGGTGTTACATTAAGGGATATCATCACTTTTATGTTGATTTTTGTATATCATGTGAGACAAGGCTAGCATTTCCATTTTTTCAAATGTGGTTATCTAGCTTCCAAAGCATTTTTTGAATACCCTTTCTTTTTTCCACTGTATATTTTTTTTGCATTTTTATTCTTTCTCAGTTGGATATAGATGCATAAATTTATTTGGGATCCTCTGTTTCACTCTGTTCATTTCCATATTTACACCATAGTGGCTTTGTTGCTTTGGCTCATAGCATTTTAAAATGAAGCATTATGATTCCGGCAACATTTTTCTTTTTGTTCATAATTGTTATGGCTGCTTCAGAATTTTTATGTTTTTATGCTTTTCTGTGAGTTTTAGGATTGCTGAACTAGTATATAATCATCCTTTTGATGGAGATTTTATCAAAGCTATGGATAGATTTGGCAATATTACCATTTTAACAATATTAATTATCACAATACATTTTTATGGGAAATATTTTTACCTTTGAGTGCCATCTATGATTTTTTTCCTTTTTATAATTTCATTGTAGAGGAACTTCACATCCTAAATTAAGTTCACTTATATGTATGTATGTATGTATGTATGTATGTATGTATGTGCCTGAGGCTATGGTGAATCAGACTGCTTTTCTGATGCCATTCTAACCAGTTCAATGTTGATGTAAAGGAAAGTTACTGAGTATATTATGCTGACTTTCAATTCCTACCAGTTTCTTAGTTTTATCAAGTCTGACATTCTTTTGGTATAAACTTTAAGGTTTTCTGCTAAAAGTTGAAGTACTTATTGAAAAAGATTGATCACAGTGGACATCACTGGCCTATTCTGTGTAATAGAGGAACTGCTTTCAGATTTTTGCATTTCAGTAAAATACTGACTATGTGTTTCTCATACATAGCTTTTATTTGGTTTTGTGTTATGCATCTTTGCCTATATTATTCAGAAATTTTTTCATGATGGGATGTAATGATGGATTTTTACACATCTTTGATTTTTATCTTTTATTCTATCTATGTGCTATTTACTGCTCTGTGTTTGTTGAACAAATATTGCATCCCTGGAATGAAATCAACTTGATCACAGTGAATGATCTTTTCAGTATGGTGGGGAGTTCACTGAAAATTAATTTTAATGAGGATAGTTGATTCTATAGTTTCATGGAGACTTACTCATTTATGTGCACTGATGTGTCCCCATTGGATTCCAGCCGCAGAATAGTACTGATCTATGTCATTCATTTGGAAGCATTTCTTTCCTATTTATATTTGATGAAGAATTGTGAGGAGCATCGCTATTATTTTTTCTTTAAAATCTAGTACAATTCGGCTGTACTTTTATACAATACTTGGCTTTTCCTTACTGAGCCATTATATTTCTGCTTTAATTTGATTACTTGCTATTGATCTATTTATCTTTTTCATATACTTTTATTTCAATCTTGGTTAGTCATGTATGTCTGGAAATGTAACCATTTTTAAGTATCTTCCAATTAAAGGTAAAAAAGAATATTTTTCTAAATATTCCTTAATGATTCTCTAGAGATATCTGTTGTAATACATCATCACTATTTTTGACTTACATTTTATATGTTTGGGTTTTCTTTTTGTTTCTTTCGCTTGGCTTGGCCAATCTAGCTATCTTTTCAAAAAATCAACCTTTTTGTTAATAGAAATTTTTGCTTAATTCTTTGTCTCTACTACATTTAGTTTTCAACTTATCCTTATTAGTTTTTTACATTGTATCATTGATATTGAATTTGCCTTACTATTTTTCTAGAAACTAGAATTTCATCTTACATTACTCACTTGAGCTCTCTCTCTCTCTTTCTCTCTCTCTGTCTCTCACCTTTTGATGAAGTCTCTCATTACTATAAAATTCACAATTAGTTTGCTTCTGCGGCATCTGATTTGTTCTGGTATATTGTGTGCCAATTTCCATTTGGTTCTGGTTAGCTTTGCCCCCATGATTTTTTCAGTAACTCTTTGGGTTAAGAATGTACTGTTACAAATCCATTTGTTTGTACACTTTTCTTTGCTGCTAATTTCTAGTTTTACACCTTCCTACTATAATCTCAAAAGATGGAGAAAATTATTTCATTATTTTTAAATTTACCAAGCCTTGTTTATTTCTAATACATGATCTAGATCAAAAAAAGTTCCTTGATGTGATAAAACTATATATATTTTCTAGCTGTTTGATGGGATATTTTATATATATCTGTTAATTTTTATCTGCAGTATATTTAATTTCAAGGATTCTGAGTGAGTGAGTGTTTGTCTAGATGATCCATATATTGGTAAGAATGGGGTATGGAAGCTATAAGTACTATTCTGAAGAAAGGCCTTATTTTTAAGTACCTATCCATTCAGGCCAAATAATGTTTATACAATTAGAGCTAAAGCTGAAATTAAAATGATTAATGCCAAGGCTTCACTGTTTCTGACTACCTGATTAATAAGAGATTCTGAAGACCACTGTAGTACTTACCACAGTTGAAAACTGTATAAAAATGCATGAGCTGAGCAGCCAGTTTCTCAATACACCATTTCAGGAAGAATTTCTTAAAGCTTATGTTTAGTTGGGACCTGTGATAGTTTATCAGTTACTTAAAACACGCAAGCTTTTCCTCTGGAAACACCTTTAGGACTATTAGATTTCCTGGCTGATAACTCACCACCTCTGCAGGCCTGCACAATGATGACTTTGGGTTTGTCTCTTAGACCTGGGCAGGAGCGATTGTTGAATATCTTGAAGATGGTGTCATACTGAAGCACATCTGGGCTGTCATCACTATGAAGAGTTCCACAGATTCCATGCAGGATGCCATGAGACATAAGAACCAAGAATGTGCTGTCTGAGGATTTGTGCTCTGGTTTGCCAGCAAATTCACTTAGCGCATACTCCATGTCCTGGAAAAGGGCAAAGTCTTACTACAGTTGGATGAGTAATAAAATCAGTTTGACCCACCAGATTTACCTTGAGCAGTATAGGAAACATAATGTAATGAGCTGAACAAGGTGACCATACTTAGCAGCACTCAATAACATCAAATGTTTCACTTTCTCTTTATCAGGCAATGGATTTTAAGTTCATTTTTCTTACTGATACTGATTGTCTAGTCAATATATTGTATATTTACTATATTAGTAATATTACTTTTTTCTTTCATGTTTGCCTTTTTTCTCCTTATGCAATGACACAACTGTGTTGTCACTTAATTAACTTTCTCTCTAAATCCCTTTCCATGTGCTAAGAATAATATTAAACTCTGCCTGATTATTTTCCAATTTCCTCTATGCTTGCTTCTCTTACTAACTGTGGTTGTAGCATGCTTCTATCTGTTTTCTTCCAGGACAGATGTATTTTCATTTTAGCCTTGATACTTGGGCCTCTCTTGCTGTATTTTCAAGGCATTTGCCTTACATATTTCTAGAATTATATCATTCTTAATAATCATGCCTAGGCAGCTGTGTTATATAACCACAGAATCTTTTCTGGATTCCGCGGATATTGTTCCCAACTCTCCGCTTTTCTCTCATGTTCTCTTTTATTATTCACCTACTGTTTTATTCATACATCACTTCTCTAAATCTTCATTTTCCTTATATTTGGGTTTCGTCTCTCCAATGTTGATCATAGCAAAACAGATGTTTTCTATTCTTATTTACACATGCATACACAGTGACTAGGGGTTCTTTGTGTCCCAAAGAACTCCTGCTACAAAGTCAGAATCCCTGCCACAAAGGCAGAGTTAATATTAGTGTTAATTCACATCTAAGTGACATTCACTTCTCCTGAATTTTTTTTTCCTGACTCCGAACATTCCATTTTGAAGATCATGAAAATTCATTAGATATCCATGTCAATCATTTTATGTGCAGTTACATGAAACTGAGACTATCTGATACTCCAATAGACATGGATAAAGTCTATTTAATTCCTTCAATATAAAGCATGTATGCACACACACACACACACACACACACACACACACACACACAGTCCCATAGATTGTTAGGGCTTTGCTTTAACACTATGATCTAATTTATTAGTGAAATGCATGTTTGATGGCGCATGAGCTTAGGTGCATGTGTGGCTCTCACCCTGGCTGTGAGATTCTCTTTCACAGTCACAGTGTAGTCCAGTTCTTCAAGCAGTTGCTTCATTCCTGTGACATCTTGTTCAGCCCCATTCCTCACAGTGAGATGGGAAAACTCTACATTGCATATGATGAGAGCCTGGCGAGTGCGTTCATTTCTGTTTTTTATTGGGTAGATCTGCAGAAATTTTTTAGTGAACCATGTTTACTCGAATTCATTGAAATCCCCACAGACTCCTATGTGTAGTTTTATTAATTCTCATCTGCTGTACAGTCTCCAACTCTATCTTATTCTCTCTTACAAACTCAGAGACAGACACTAGAAATAGTAAAGAATTTTGAGGAAAGTAATATCATTTTTAGTTGTGCCTCCTCCTCCACCTAGTCAAGCTCAAAATTAAAATTTCATAATAACTTCCATGAAAGCAAGGATTTTAGTTTTGGAATAGAACTAAGTGAAGATTTCACTGCCTTATTCAAAACTAATATAACAAATATCCTTTTCCCTAGGTACTGTTATTAATGTTGTATTATTTTTAGCATTTCAATTTATGATGCTTCATGAACTTTCATGGCATTTTAACAATAGCCATCATGTTTATAACTTTCAACTAGAATACAAGCATTTACTATTTCTGCATGTTATTTTGTAAATATTTTAAGTTGGCAATATGTTTGAAATTCTCATAATTCTCAAACAGATATCATAATAAGTAACAAAACAAAAGATGGTATGTAATTTGTTCGGAGTTTAATAGGAATTGGAATCTGTATGAAATCACATATCTAACTTTACAGCAAAGCATCTTTTGAACAGCCTACTCCTGTCCTCACTCCCTTGAATTTCATTCTTTTAGGGACAGCAAATATTTCTGCTCTGATTTTATTGTATGCATGTTGCACAGTACCTCTGAAGCCCTTTCTATACACAGTTTCTGGAATTCCTCAGGGGGGCATGTCTTGAGGGTGTCAGTAGTTTCTGAGGACTCAATTGCTCTGCACTCATTGTCCTGAGGAACTGTGGATAAATGACATAATATAGAGTTCAATTTTTATTTGTGACCTTTATCATCATCTGAAAGTTCTTAAAAAGGCAAAGTTTAAGAAGAAAGCTTCGTATGGAGTGATTGTGATAATAGCTCTCCTCCAGTGTAAGGAGATGCATGTGACTGGTAAAGAATTTTAAATTTCTTGATAGACAAAGAAAAAATACCCCAAAACAAAAATAGATTTAGTAATTTGGAGGGAAACATCTCCATGATTTGGGGTTAAGTTTGGCCTTTACACATTCAACAAAAATTGATTGATTTTTTTTCTAGTGATTTACTCAAAGATACTCACTTATGCATGTAGTCTTACTTTGTCTCTAAGCAAAAATTTATAAGACTACTGACCATTATGAATATAGCACAAACTACATGTGTAATTTGAAATATCTCCCTATAAAATAAACAGGGAAAGTTGTTTTTTTTTTAATAATATGCTTTTTTAATTTAATATATATTGTTATTTCATTATATATTACTAGAGGAATTTAAGTCCCATATGTGGCTTATATCCATCATAATGCACAATAAAACACCTCTTAATGATAATACCCTTTGGTCTATACTACACACACTGAGCACTCATGAAACACTGTAAATCTTGCATTCTGTATCATCTATGTATTATTCATTCAGGAATCTTAATTTTGAACCTTTCTAGAGGAAATGAGCTTAATCATTCCTTATAAATTTAAATCAGCTATTTAATGAGGAAGGGTCATCTAGAAATAATGATAGTATATTCAAGGTGAAAGGGGCATTTTTTTTTGTTAGTGTTTCTGACAAATTCTGCATATCTTGCCTGCAGAGTGCTCTGAAACCAACAATAGGCTTTTGAACACATACATTAAAATGTAGAGAAAGTAATTCCCCTTTGTGGTAAATCTATTTCAGAGTCATCCCGGTATATCTCCTAGAGAAATGTAGTACTATGATATTGCTTAAACTCATATGACAGAGATTGTGCAAGCCACTGGGGAGTAATTGAGCCCTTCTTTGCAAAGAAAAAAAAAAAAGAAGAGGAACTTATAAACAGAAATTAAAAGTATACTGAGATCCAGCATAACAAATTCTATTGAAGAAGGAGTAAAGAGTTATGTTACTCCTCTTTAGTTACACGAGTTCAGCAAGCTGTTCTCTGGCTTTGTACTTCTTAAATGAGAAAATCGATATGATCTTATAATTTTGCTCATTTTTATATTTATAATATCTCTATCTTCTTATTTTATTCATTTGTTTTCATGAGTTTTTGAATAAGTGCCTAAGTATCTCATATTCTTGAGATACAGCATATTCAAACAGCACATAAAAATATTAGTTTTTTTTGGGCATTTTTAATACATCAAACAGTAACACATATTCTCACATCCTATTCAGAAAATCAAGCCAATGTGATGACCTATAGTTTCCCTGGATAATCCTTGGGCAAATGGTATGTTTTTTAATCCAAGTTTTATGCAGTTACCTATTTATTTACAAGTAGAGAAAATTTTGTGAGTTAATAGTCCGCTAACAAACTGGTGCACACGTATAAATAAGTGTTTCCTGCTAATGTTATCCTATACCTAATAGAAAAATTAGCATAAGGGCAAACCTGTTTATTACCAACTAGTGAATAGGATAGTACAGTCTGGTTCTCAAACAGATTCCCTATTATTCTGTTAGTACAACAAAAATGGAGAAACTATAAATCTAGACAAAATGTTTAATTTCTGAGTCCTATGAGCTTTTCAAAATTTTCTTATAATTAATTGCAAACAAATCCATTAATACAGAATAAGACAAAGACATGTTCCTTGGCATGTAGGTGTTAAAGTGATTATGTCTGTGGATATAACAATGTTTTGCATGTATTGAAAATGAAACAAACAAGAAATTAATTTGCAGTCTTTCTATTCTTCACTGCATAACCTTTAGATTGTGCTTGAAACTATTCCATTGTATCTATGCACATTCATCTGGTGAGAGTCTTTACATAATTCCGTATTTAAGCACATATAATGTCCTACTTATCTGAGTTGTTTTACCTAAAGGATCCTCAGATCATTTTTGTGACTTGAATTTAAATGTAGCATAGGGGCTACTAGAACATCGTAGCTCTACATGGGCTTTTTCCCTAATGCAGCCTCTGCTGATCACATAGGTTGATTTTAGAGTTTAAAACTTCTTGTGATTCTGTTTCTGAAGTCAATTTGAATATCTTGTGTGTTTTAGATTCCCAACTGATATGGTATCTTTACACTGGAATACTCTACAGCTAACAAATGCTAAACATGACGATTGAAAAGGTTTAAGAATCTTGCTCCAAGTCACAGAATTCATTAGGCAATAGAATCTAGGCTGGGGTGTCCCTTTCTACAATGTTTCTGTGTTGAATATTTTATAAACACCTTAAACACAAAGAAACTGGATCCCATCCAATGAGAGACAGTGTTGCTTTTAAAAGTAAGATACTCCTACAGTGAAAGCACTGCTTTGTTCATGGAATGGGAATCCCAGAAAAGAGTTGAAGAGACTGCGATTTGAATTGATTTTGGAAATGTTAAGGCATTTATTTTCAAGTGATTCCAGTCTTACCTCTTGTACCATTGGTCTCTTTGTCGAGATTAAAAAATGTCTGGAGAAATGCTTGACCTGCCTCCTTCGGTTTCCGTCTGACAGAGTCTACAAACACCCTGGCCTTGTCTCTACGCTCGGCCTCCGTGAACCTTTTCTTGGCCTCTTCATCTAACTTCACCACATTCTTCTGTACCATATCTTCCAAAATACCAGTGAGGTATTCTTTGCCTATGTGCTCCAGCATCTTAAGTGGTGGTTTAATTTGGTGTTTTTCTGTCAAAATAGAAATATACCTTGAATAATATCCCAGTTAAAGAGTTTTGCCCTCATCAGTCACAATATTTATAGTATGAACTATCTTGTGTGTACATTCCATTTGATTATCTCCCCCAATAACTATACAATTATTTCCTTGTACCTATAAGTTTTCTCAAATCCTTGAAATTATATCAAGCTGAATCTAATCATTCATTGTCACCTAAAGTTTGTTTTTGATGTCTTCATCTGTGTCATCCACCTTTTTCATATTCTTTATTGTTTTTCTCAGAACTTTGATGATAATGAGATCAACCTAGAATGTGTGCTCCATAGAAAATAAAAGATCTTGTCCAGATGGTAAATTCCTCCACTACACAGTAAAGTATTTCTCATGTTCTGTATTTTGTAGGGTTAAAACACTCTGTCCTTAAATTCCCATAATTCTACATAAATTCTATCTTCAATTTTTTGTGCTGTACATACTTTAAAACTTAATATGCTCACTTAATTTATAAATTAAATAATAAATTAATAAATGCATTTAGATTTTGCATTCTTCCAAGAGCTAATTCCCAATTAAAATTTAGCACTTAATATAATGGTTACTAAACTTTCATTATGATAAATTAACTACTCCTTAGGAAAATTTAAAACTTTATGGAGAAATAGAATATGAGTATCAAATAACAAATCTTTTATTGTACATTTATGGATATATTTTAGTGAAGAAATATATGGGAAGGCAGGTTATCATATTTATTTTCAGTTTTGCAGCAATAGTTACACAAACGTTCTAAATGTTCAGATAGGTATGATATAATTTATATTGTCTAAAGAAAATGTGCTATAAAATTGAAAAAGAACACTGTGAAATGAGAAAAGCGAGGAAGAAAAGAAAGGAAATAATGATAAAAGTAGGAAAAATTGAGGCAAAACTTTTGTAATTCAGGAGGGGAAGAGGAATTAAAGAGAGGGGAGGGGAATGGAGTAAAAAAAGAGTCGAGCTATACCATGTACAGGTTCAAATTCCCTATAATGAATGTTATCATTATGTATATCTAAAATATACCAGTAAACTTAATTAAAAAAACAAAAAAAAAACACTTTGTCCCAGAATTCCAGTCTCATAATCTATGTTATATAGAGTTATTCTATCAGTAAATGTTTATTAATGAATAAGTAATAGAAATACACATAGATATCATAAAATAAGGAAAAAATTATATACCATCAATTAATATAATGAATGTTCGTATTTCCAATGAACTTTTATGGCTAATAAGTAATATATCAAAAGCAAGATAAGTCATATCATTATTATTTATGCATTTATCCTGTTGTCTACTAACATTATGCCAGAACCACAGAAAATCTCAATGAAGTAGTTATTTACCTTACATTTAAAAAAAATAAAAAAAATTAATAATATAATAATAAGTAACATATCAGCTCAATTATAACTTACCCAAATTAGGAATTGTGTTCTTACACAATGGTTAATATAGCCAACTATGACACAGCTTCAGTAACAATAGTTAATACTCCCCTGTTATGACAATCATTTTACAGGAATCTTCTCTCTGAAGCAGCACAAAACCTCATAAAATATCTCTTACTCTCAGAGAAGAAGTTAATTGAATTATTGGCCAAACTTGGGGGAAAAGATGGACATAATGGTCATGAAATTAAATGACAATTGGGGAATAGCTACTTATAAGAAAACAAGATATTTTTATAAGAAAACAAGAAAAAATGGGTCAATTCTAGCTGGTAAGATCACATAGGCTTCAAAAAGATATAGTGGGCCTGGGGATTTAGCTCAGCGGCCTAAGCGCCTGCCTTGGAAGCAGGCAGTTGTGAGTTCGATCCCTGGTACTGATAAAAAGGAAGTGAAGTACACAATACATGATAAACTAAAGAGGCTAAAAACATAATAATGGCAAATATGACAAACTCACAGCAAACATCGTATTTAATGATCTGTAATTGAAAAAATTTTTTTCTAAAATGAGAAACAATATAAGAGTAATAAATCTGACGATTTCTATCAAGGTATTACTGTAAGTCCTAGCAAGAGTAAGTAAAATAAAGAAAAAAAAATTGAATTGGAAAGAAGTTAAATTGTCCAAGTTTACAGACTATTCTAAAAATCCTGCCAAAATTCTAACAGAATTAATAAATCAGTTCAGTAAAGTTATATTAGGCAAAATCAATAAAGAGAAATTTGTACATATCTTACTAACAACACTCTCTGAAAAATCAAGAAACAATTCCATTTAAAATTGTTACAAAAAGTAAAATACTTGAGCACATTTCACCATTGAAGTAAATGATAAATACACTGAAAGCTACAAGATACTGAAGAAGTAAATGGAAAATGTATAAATAGGTATTTTGTGTTTATGGATTAGAAGAACTTAAGATTGTTAATATACCCATATTACACAAAGAGGTCAATAGGTTCAGTGGAATTTCTATCAAATTTCCATTTAGTTTTTTACAGAAGTAGAAAAATTTTAATTCAAAAGGAATAGCCAAAGTAAACAGAATGAAGCTTCAGGAATTATATTACCTGACGTTAATATACGCTGCATAGCTAAAATAAGCAAAACAGCATAGCACTGGCATGATAGCATACAAAAAAATCAATGAAATAGGCATGAAAACAAAGAAGTATCCCAATAATTTATAGTTTGTTGATTTCCTACAAAATTCCACAAAACAACAAATGAGGAAAAGACAATTAAATGACTCTAGGAGAACTAGTATTGGCATTAAAAATGCTCGTTAGAACATTATTTTACGTCAGATCAAAAAATTAGCTACAAGGAGGTTAAACATTTTAATATGTGTTTAGAAATTTTGAAAACTGCAAAAGAAGGCATAATAGGAAAATCATTACTTTAGGTAGAGATTTAGTGGATATGACCTGCAAACCATGAGTTTATAAGTCAATATAAACAAATGAGATTTAACTCAAAAACTTTTGTACAGCAAGCAATCCGTAGAGTGAAGACAGAATTTACACAGTGGGGAAAAATGTTTGTTAATCACATAATCAAAAGGGCATTAATATAAAAATAAATAAGAAATTCCAACTAATAATAAGAAAACAAGTAAATTGATTTAAAATGGACAAAGGACTTGAATTGATAGTTTTTAAAGAAGATATACAATTACTAAACATATGAAAACCACGTGACTGACCACATGAAAATACTTAACATTTCCAGAGATCAAGGAAATGCAAACTAAAACCACAATGAAAATTTCCCTATACCTGTCAGCAGTCTATTGTTAGAGGATGTAGATAAAAAGAAATCCATGCATGTTCTTCATTAAAATCTAAATTCATACCACCACTATGAAAAATAATGTGTGCCTTAAGGATAATAAGAAACCCCCAAACTCATTACTGGGCATAGGTCCAACCATATGGAAACATAGCTGAACAATGCGAAATGATAGCTGTGTTTGAATGTTCTCTGAAGCATTATTCACAGCAACAAAGGAATCAAATCACCACAAGTGTCCGATGGAATGGGAATGAAAAAAGAAAGTGGAATACTGTTCATCTATTTTAAGAAAGAGATTTCGGAAATGAGGAAAAAGCACGAATAGGGAGCTGGGGATTTAGCTCAGTGACATAAGCGCTGCCTGGTAAGTGCAAGATTGTGAGTTCAGTTCTAGTATCACACACGTGCACACACACGCACACACACGCACACACACACACACACACACACACACACACACACACACACACAAGCATGAATAAAACAAGAGGACTTTATGTTAATCAATAATGACCAGATCAGGTTCTGAAATTCAAGGACCACATGATGTCACTTGTATTGGAATCTTAAAAAAATAATATTCTTAAAAATATAGAATAGAATGGCACTTAGCAGGTTTTAGTAGTGGAGTGGCCAAAATTAGAAATTTGTCAAAGGAAATAAAATTTAGTACCAGAAGAAATAAGTTAAAGAGATCAATTGAGAAATATGGTGAATATAAAAAATAATGATATATATTATTTTTGAAAGTTTGTCAAGACGAATTTTAAGTGTTCCCATTGTGGGAAGCCCTGTAATTGGCTGCCACCTTGTATCTGCAGTCCACACCACCTTAACTCCCTCTAGGAGTTAAGTTTGGTAGGTAAGCAGCACCTTGCCTAGCTTGTTTGGCTCATTAAGGATTATGCTAATCAGCTCACTTTATGAGCCCAAGCATGGGAAATTTAAAAATTTGAATTAACCTATGACCCTCAGTCTTGCCACTGTTGCTAAGTTACCTGCAGACCTCTCAGAACCCAACTCCCTCTTCCCCAATACCCTATATATTTGTTACTGATTTCTTGAATAAACAAGACTTGATTGGACTTTGTCTTGTCTCCATTCTTTGGTCTCTTATTTCCTTTTCATCCTCACTCCCCTTCTAGGGTCTCCGTGGACTTGCCCACAGGCCGGGACACCCATCACAAAAAAGATAGAAGTATCACATATATTAATTAGTTCCATTTAATCATCCCTCAATCTATATATAGTATATAAGAAATGTATACCATATTTACCAAATAAAATAAAACATATAAGTTGTAATCTAAGCAAACTAGAGTTTTGACCTCAGTTCTTCTTCTCTTAATCTACACATTTTCATTGCAGCAACTACTATATTTGAATAATAAATATAAAGTTTACACATTTTTAGATTCAGCCTAGATGTGGATACCAGTATTCAGATTCACATATTCAACTATCAATGACATACTTCAGAAAATATTTAGATTTAACTTGAAAAGCTTAATCATTTTAATCCCCCTCTCCCATTTACTCACTAGTAAAGTCTCTAATCCCCAATATAAGAAATCAGCAAAACTTCATGACTTTACATTTCTTCCTTACTTATATTTTGCTTTTAATCTCAATGTATATTAGTTTTATTTCATTATCTAAATGTTTGCAGCATCTTACCAACTAATTCTGTCAGTTCTAATAGTTCATTTCTCCTCTTCAGATCAACATGCTTCTTTTCTTAATTATTCCAAGATGCTTATAATCTACGCTTATCCCCTTCTTGTGTATTCTTCACAATGAAGCGGAGTGAGATTTCTAATATTAAAATTTGATAACGAAAACTCTCAGTTGAATCTAATCTAAGCTTTCTCATCCAGCCTTACTTTCTGATAGTAAATCCACATTTTACATTTTAAGTATGCTACCTGTCTTGTGATTTATCAAAAATGTCTACTTAGAAGTCTCTGCATCTCCCATTTCAAAACCTGTCATTTCTTCCTGTGGTCCTATGTTTATTTCATACAACTACAACTGTGATTGCCAACCTATCACTTATCACTTATCATAAGAAATCACTACACTATTATTAGATTCACATCACTATCCTATTATTAGATTCCACTATCCTGTGGAAGTGTAGGAGCCATGAATTAGGTCTGTATTACTTCTGAATTTAGGGGATGTTCAATAATTCTCTACTGTATCACTGGTCAATTATAGGAACAAAACAAAATAGGGACAAATGACTAAAATTTAGGCATGACCTATCTCTTAACAATGCTTAATCATAAGTTAGGTAAGTTTGATTTATTTAACATTTCCAATGATCAAGGTTTTTTTTGTGTGTAAAATGGGTGTCCTGAGAGTAGGGTGCAGGATGAATCAGAGTATTACATGCAGGCAGAGGAAGAGAAGGACACTAGGAGACAAGGGAGCTGGGAGACAGAGAGAGAGAGAGAGAGAGAGAGAGAGAGAGAGAGAGACAGAGACAGAGAGAGACAGAGAGACACACAGAGAGAGAGAGAGACAGAGAGAGACAGAGAGACACAGAGAGAGAGACAGAGAGAGACAGAGAGACAGAGAGAGAGGGAGAGAGAGAGAGAGAGACAGAGAGACAGAGAGACAAAGACAGAGGCAGAGAGATAGACAGAGACACAGACAGATCGTGATAGCAATTAGACCAAGAGTATAATTCAAAATAATAGGTTAAGGGTGTAAACTCAAGGCTTTCGAATCTGATCTGTTTCTTGTGACCCGAATCATAAATTCTGAATCAAGAGGAAATATGGAAGATTTCAGAGTGGATTTAGAGACCTCTAGTGCTGTTCCACACAGTACTTTACCCACTGTTTCATTACCAGACACTGAAAAAACTCCTGTCAGGCTTCAGGAGATCTGGAGTCTTCTTTATTCCTTCCAGTGTCTCTAACGCCACACCCTGTGGTTCTAATTACACACCGAAGAAAGGGGAAAGTTCCACTTAAACACTCCTGGCTCGCTTCCCTTTCTTATTTCTGCCTATCACAGGGCAGTAAATAAATCCTTTTACAGGAAGGGACCCAAACTCACCCGCCATGGGTAGCCACTCAGTCTCTTCCCTGGCAGTTGGGCTGAGAGGGCCTCACACTGGAAAATGGAACTTGCTGCCTGTTTCCTAAGTGCAGGGGTGGGGACGACCACAGGCTGTGAAACTGCTGCTCAGAACTTCAGTTTCCTTGTTTGGAAGTCCCCTGCCGCTGTAACAGTGGAATCTTGGTCCTGGACTCTAATATCTTCCTTTGGAAAGGAAAGTTTAAAAACTAGAAGTGATAAACACTGTCCTAGGGCCTGACTCCTCTGACTCCTGTGTTCCTCCTGCTCCTTTGCTCTGTCCAGGGCTCACAGAACTCCTCCTCATCCTGCCTTCTCTTTTACTCTCTCATGTCTCCCTCTCTAGTTATTAAAAGTTTGAATATAATGAATCACTTTCCATTTCCCAGTAAAAAGTCACCAGGTAGCTTCTGTCTTCTGTTTAAACTGTGCTTATTGTATCTTTGCCTTCTGCCTGTCATCTTAATCTTCTATTGCAGAGAGTTTTAGAACCTTTTTCTTACTCCTTCCCCCAAAATGAGTTTCTTTAGGTGTCCAAGAGCAGTGTCAGATTTTTTGTTAACTGGATGTGACAGTTCTGCTTTGGATATTTGCCTTTTGATATTCTAGACCAGAATTCTTTATAGAACCAGTTCTAGCCTGTAGTAGAAGGAATGATCACACAAAAGATACCTGCCCAAAACAACCGGCAAGAAAGAGAAAAAGCAGTGACATGTTTAACATGGAATGTTTCCTAAGGGTCAGAAATCCACTTTCACTTTAAAATACTTTAGTACCAGAGAGGGCCATTCTTACAAGTGAAGCTGGAATTCTTCCAGCGGACAAGATTTTAGCCCACAATTTAATTTCCTTCTTCACATAAGGACTTCACACCTCTAGTATTTATTATTCGTGTCATACATCTGCTGATGGTTTCATGTTTGTTGATATTTTATCTTCTCAGTAGACCCAACTATTTCCTTTCTGGGTATTTTTGTACAACAATTGAAAACATCATACCACAGCAATGTATGTGCATGTATGTTTATAGTAACAAAATTAGTGATATTTAATTCTTGGAAACAAATCAAATGCCCATTTACCCAGGAATGGATAAAAAAGATGTTGTCTTTTCATACAATGGAGTACTAATCAAATATAATAATAAACATGAGGCTTTTATAGGTAAATAGAAGCAACTTATGAGATCATACTCATAACTGAAATAAATTAGACTGGCATTATAAATATCATTTTCTCCCTAGTGTAAGAAACTGAAAGAGTAAATAAGATTTAAAAGATACAAGAGATATTGTGAAAGAGAAAGAAACAGCTCAAAAGGAAAGAGAAACTGAGATAGAGGAAAGAAGAATAGAAGGAAGGGAAAAAATTTACAGACACACACTATATAAATATATGATAGCTAAGATACTTGTACTACTCATTCTATTAGTTCATTAAAAGAAATAGTGCTCATATTGTTTGATCAAGTTGGAGTGCCTATATCTGATAATCTGAGCAACTATTTTGAAGATAACAAAATGCAATATAATAACCATTGTTAATTTCTTATCATCTTGCTCTGAAATTCTTAATCAATTTTGTTTTTTATTTTTCTTTAAAAATTTTTAATTAAAGTGAAAACCACATTAAAAAAAGAATGTAAGTACTAGGAGTCAAACTTTGCTTGGCTTCCCTCAAACGTCTTAACAAACTTCAGAAATATGTAGGTTGTGTGCATAACTTTGTAAATAGTAAAATCTGAGCTCTAGAATAACTCACTCAACACACTGTACCATTGCTGTCATAACTGCTTCTCGTTCCCTTATCCCTCAACTCAGGTGACTTCTTTGCATTGTAATACATTGCAGTACTTTTACAGGTAATACTTTGCATTGTATTCCTAAAGCGGAAAGTCAAGCAAACAGTATTTTAAAATAAAAAGAATAGTGTTACCAGGAGTTCCACTCTCATGGTGTTAAAACACTCCAAATATGTTACTTTTGTATGTTGCACCTCTTGAATTCCAAGTGTTGTAAAAACAAACAAACAAACAAATAACAAAGTAAACCCAGGACAACCTTACATTTTTATTTCATATTTATTAGATTTTTTTAAATAAATGTCTGTTTCCAAGAGATATGATTTTAAACACTGGCCCAGAAAAAGAGAACTGGCTTCCAACAGGAAAGGAAATAACACGAAGGTAAGGGAGAGTACTGTTAATATAAATGTAAGTGGTAAGATATCTTTACCAATGGGGACACACATACAAAAAGGAGGAATCCATACTGGTTTTAAATGTTTCCCTACTGTGGTTCTCCTAAAGTGGGTTCTCCAAATCTTACTACTATTTTTTCATTTACAGAAGTCTTCCTTAAAGAATACCCAGCCACCTCTGCAAAACGTTTAAAGCAATATGCTAAACAGAAAAAGAGATAATTTTCCAGTACCTCCCTTCATTTTATCAGATGAGGATGGGGTCCCCATACTCTGTTCCCAATTCCTTTTTCTCCTCACTACACATAGACCAACCTACCCACAGATATTGATACAACTTATACATTTTAATGTCCTGGGAAAAGATAGAAGTGTTTTGTCAAAGTCACTCTCTCAGTAGTGGGCATCTGTGCCACAGGATCTGGTATTTCAAATGAAAATTGAACCTAAAAGAGAAAAAGATTATAGACTTTTTTTTTTTTTATCTGAGTGGAGAACCTTGATTTGGTCAGTAAAACAAAAGAAAACTGGGATAAATATAGGAAAGTAAATGACTTTTTAAAAGCCATTCTCTAAGAACCACGGCAAGAAGCATTATCTAAGCATAGAATGACCTTTCAGACTTAAAATCTGTTGCTGATCCGTTTGCTATATTGGCTATGGGCCCATTAGAGTTTACTCATATGTCTGTTTATAGCAGAACAAGAGCTTAAGTAAGTGAGTATTCCTTAGGGCTTCTGGATCTTTCTACATTGGATCTCTCATACATGTTTTCTGACCCATCAAGGATCTTCAAAATTCCTTTGGACAGAATAGTTTTATAGAACTATTGGAAGATAAACAGGTCCAGAACTGACACATAGGAATCCAGCAGGAAAACAAAAAGCTGGAGCAATAGAGTAAGGAGAAACATTTAGCATCTCACCTTTCGAAAAATTTCCTGCAGGTCACAGCACCAGGCATATTCTTGCATAGTTTTAATGAGTTTCATAATAAAAAGAGAGCCTCTTTGAGGATGTCGCCAAGAAACATTATCTGTAAAAAAAAAAAAAAAAAAAAAAAAAAAAAAAAAAAAAAAAATCACATGACAAGTGTTTGCTTGGACAGAGGGGCAGCCCCAATATTTCCAGTGCAGCTTATGCATAATACTGAGGACATCACGTTTTCTACTTGTTGCATGGCACAGCAAATATATTTAATGTTAGTGAGAGTATTTTATGAGTACTCAAAACAGTGATTGATGCAATGCAGGTATTAGGGCAGCATAGTCCTCGATTTAAAGGAGATGCAAATGCATGAGAGAATGGAAAGGACAGAAGGACATTGAGAAGAGAGGTTGAATCAAGCGTTTCAAGCTTGTTATTTAATGGCTCTTATTTAAATTGTGGCATCAACTATTGAGGTAATGATTTCTGTGACAAAGAGACATTTGATGAACACATGTAATACAACAAAAACATCTGGCAAATATAGGATTATGTATTAGAAAATGCTAAATAAGAATGAAAATTGTATCAACATAATGATAAAGGGTCAAAAGGAAATATCATTTCCAAATGGAAAAATTAAAGGTTTTTTAGAGAAGAGAACTATGGAAGACACCACTAATAGTTATATAACATAGCAGATACATAGAAATAGTGGAAATACTTAAAATATCAAAGGGAATGTACAGAGAGAAAGCAATAGGAATAGCTGTATGTATTCATGGACACATCATTTAACCAAATCTTTTAGCCAACATAATGGTAATAAAATGCATATTAATAATTAAAATCCTGTTAAATTATGGCTGGATTATTGCACTTTTGCTAGCTAGTAAAAAATAGAACATAAGAGGAAAGGCAGAAGCAGGCATCTCTGCAGGTCTTTGTGGAATTCAAGAAGTTGAAAATCAGGTTTCTCCAGGAAAAACACATGATGCCATTAGGATTTATACAGAGGACTCTGAAGTTGAAGATGCCTGAACTTCGATTTGTATCTGGAATCATCTGGATGGGTGCAAGAAACAAAACTGAAGGGAACAGAAACCAGCAAAACAGCCGTTGAGAAGTCAGACGATACAGTCTACAATGTAGCCAGACATTAATATATTGTAGAAGCCAGAATCAAATGATTCAGAAGAATAATTTTGTCTGCTATTAAGTCCACTCCAAAAAATGCAAAAGAATGCATGGTATCATGGTTTTTACATTTCTCATTACTGGAAAATGTACTGTGTTCTACATCAGGACATGGTCAATATAATGAGGTGCCAGGCTGTTTCTGGAGATGGGAATCGCATTATAGAAGATAATCTCTAAATTATTTGAATCAAGGAGGGATGCCTTAGCATCAAAGGTAACTAAGAGAACATCAACTCTAGGACAATGCAAAATTTAGTAGATGAGAGGATTCACATGACTTTTATTTAAACTTTAATATGTGAAATATCTTGAGTTGTTATAAGATACAAACTGCTTATAACAGTTTTTTGTGTGCTTTTACTTCGTAATATACTCATTATTGCACATATATCATCTCATTTAATGCTTAGAATAACAATCTTACATTTATATATATTAATGAGTGATCAATAGGAAGCCTAGCAAGGCTAAATGACCAGAACTAGTTCACAAAGGACTAAATAGAAGTGTCAGGATATACTTGAAGTGCTCCTTCTCCATAGCTTACATTTAGAATCATTCAGATGTATTTTCTTTTATACACTTTATAATTCACTTTCACATAAGACTTAATGAGCCTGATTTGCCCTTATGTCCATATTTTCCCTCAACATACTCTTCTACAAATGAATAATGTCTTGGCAACTGGGAAATAAGGGATCTCAACATGGTGGGCATCTTTTCCTGTGAAGTCCAAGTATAATTCATTGCTCTTCAAAGATCAAGGAAACATGGTAAAATTTTATTGCTAATTTTATTGTTAATTCAGTAGAAATATATGTACATTCTATCTTCATGAATAAGGGCAGTTGAATGTGTTTTTCTAAGAAAACAGACTTAGTCTTCAAAAGTTTCATCTAAAAATAAACTTTAACACAATGGTGTGAATTTCTCTATTACTAATCCTAAAAAGCTGTTCTGCACAAAAGCCCATTACCTGGTGTTGAAGAACAGAAAGCAATAAAATCCTTTTCTATGTGAGCTTTCATAATGCCATCATCCTCAAAATCTTCTGGATTGAGTAACATTTTGTTTCCATAGTCTCCTGCTGAATCTTTTAACCACACTGCTCCTTGGTTGCCTGGAAAGAAAAAAAAAATTTAGTTTCTTTTCCTATAAACTTTTAGGAGCACTATTGGTTTCTCTAAACCACTACAAAACTATGATATAATTAATTTATTTACCACATAGATATATTCCATGTATATAATATCATACATTATCATTCTTTTACATATAAACATGTGTTCCAGGAGCTATCTTGTCAACAATTATTATTTTTCATAATGCGCAAATGAAGAGCATTTAAGCATCAAAATTTAAAGATTAAAAATGAAGTATCTCTTTAGTTAAAAGTGAAAGTAAAATTTTCAAACCAGAAACAAAATTCACAGAAACCACATCTGATGGATTTACTAAAATATATGATTTTTTAAATATCTAGAACATACATAAGAAAACAACGAACAATATTGGATGTATGAAAATAATAGAGTCAATAATTGAACAATTTGTGTTCCAGCAGAGATCAACACTCACCACCACGGCAGGCTTGGATGATGATCACCTTGGGTTTGTCCTTCAAACTTGGACAGTTGACAGTGTTCAACATTACAAAGATAGCATTGACTTTCAATACATCTGAGACTGCTGCAGAGTATCCCTTTCCACAAATGCCACCTGGAATACCATGAGACATGAACACCAGAAAAGTGCTGTCCGAGGTCTTGTGCTCTGGGCAGGCTGCAAATGCCTTCACCTCTGTAGCCATTTCCTGAAAAACATCACACCACCAGTTTTGGACTGTGTGATCATGGCACCCTGAGATTCCAATAAAGAGACAGTGTAGGATTTCCCTGAGTCATTCCATGACAATTAATGAAGTAGGAAAGAAGGTTTAAATCTCAATTCAGTGAGAATTGATGAAAGCAAAGTTTATAGAAAGTCATCAGATTTCTAGAGGAGAGAAGCTGACCTTCCTTAAAACACCTGCTGATTGAAACTTACACCAAACTCTTGCTAGAGGACATCTGCATTTGAAGAGGATATTTAACATCAGACAGTTTCCAAGGGAAAATTTAAAGATAAACTATCAAGAAGTTAAGTTTCCTGGCATGATAACTTTGCCTTCTAACATTATTTATGAGAATAATAGAAATAATTATTGTCTCTATAGTTCAAAAAATATACCGAAGCAGTGAGGTTTTCTCTCACAATCACTTGGTATCCCAGAGCTTCTAGCAGTGTTTTCATGTCTCTGACATCAACATCAGCTCCGGTCCTTCTGGGAAGAGTCTCAAATTCTGTGTTGCAGATAATGAGGGCAAGACGTGTGCGGGTCAGCTTATCCCTTATTGCATAAATCTGGAAAAAGGCACATTGAATGGAAGTCTTATTTTCTTTAACTCAGTATTTTCTTCTGTGTTTAAACAGTTGCTCCATCCTGAACCCTGTTAAGAAACCCAGTCCCATGAATGATAGATTAACAGAGGGGAAGAGAATGCAGGCTTTATTCAGAGGTGGAAATGGAATTTGCAAATGTCCAGATCATCTGAATATCTGCCTGTGTTTTGGACAAGGGATATTTTAAAAAGATTCACAAACTTTGAAGGCAGGGTTATGCAATGGGAATTAAAAACAGATACTTCCACCTCTGATTGTTTGACTCTGTAAAATGTATTTAGCAATCCTCTGATTTTAAAATGGATGATTTCTAAGGTTAAAGTCATTAATATGCAGAATAGTTACGGTAATATCTGACTCACAGTAAGCATCCAATACTAGCAATTGACATTGCTTTATTACTGTTTTTATTTACTCATAGAAATGGAATTCTCTGTACAAGCCTGGGATTCTAGGAGGCAAGGATCTGTTAAGTCAGGGGAGCTGCCTAATGATTCACCAGAGTATCTCAGTTACTTTGGCTCTAAGTAAGAGCCACTTCACTTTACAATAGACTCAGGTATTATGGATCTTTCAGCCTGCTCCATGCTTGTGTTCTGAGCACAGCACCTCTGCTGACTTCTCTTTCCGTATTCTTTGGAAGGTTTCCAGAGGGCAAAGCTTGAGGGTTCCTGCTGGGCCTGAGGATAGGACTACAGCTTGGTTGTCCTGTACTTCACAAGCAGCTGTAAAGACAAGAAACACTATGGATCATCATATTTCCAAATTCTTCCCTTCCCACTCTTGACAAAATCACCTATGTGTGCAGCCACAGAAGTTAGTGTTAGGGGTACAATGCTGGGATGCTTGCTAACAAGGTGAGCACATTTATTGCTGGTACAACACAATTCCTGCCAGAGGAGATTTCTAGAGGCTTGATACAGGGACACAAGAGATATACATTTGTCTGTTGGAATAACTTTTTGACAGATATCTTAGAACAATGTAAAGAAAAGGAATTCTTCCAGATATTACATGTCAAAAGACTCAGAAAACAATGTTAGTAAAACATTAAAATATAAATTTATTTCAAAAGTTTTAAAGCCTACTGTAGATTAAAAGATAAGATTGTTAGAGGTATGTTTTGACTATTTAAATGCTTTGTAAAACATGTATGTTTTTTCTATTTATTAACTTAAGAAGCATGATGGTAGATATTTGTATTTTTTTAACTTTCTCTGGTCCTGTTCTTCAGAATCACTTTCTGCACTATACCCATGTAAGATGGCATAAAAATATTGAATATATAGAATAGAATAGCTAAAGTAGAAAGATAAATGCTACAGTCAAGGGGCATACTAGATATAATCATCTCACAAAATGCTGATTGTTCAAATGTAAGGGAAGGTTTCCATAGTCACTATGAGAAAATCCCAAAGGTTTTTATTTGATTACACACCACCCCACAATGTAATGTACTGACTAAACAAATTAATCTGCTTGGTTTTTATTTTAAAATAGATATAACTTGACTGGATATCCAGAAGATGTTTTAGAAACTAAATTGTTAAAATAAGAAACATCATCAATTTTAAAGAAGAATCTTAAATAATATGTTGCATATTCATCATTAAACATTCTAAGTGGAAAAAAGAACTAATTAGAATCAATGTATTGGAGAAAATAGTAGAAATAATCATTAATTGGGAGAAATATCCTGTTTCTGCATAATGAACTCTAGAGAACAATAGCAAAAATAAACAGAGAAAGTTAAATTAAATGAGCTATTTTTCCAGGAATAGGATAAGGTCTTTGGATATACAATGAAATATCCAAGAAAAAAACCTAGTTATATCACTATTAAAATGTTCAGTATAGTGATTTTCCCATGTTTTCTATGTTTCATATTCTTCCAATCATAAGCTCCTATTAATTTAAATTAAAAATGGTCACTTTTGGATGGCACTATTCCACAATTGTGGGTCCGAAACATTTTTAAAGAAAAAATAAAATAGAGATAAATTGTTAGGAAGAGGCTAATACCTGAAAGAAGTAAAATTAGCTATCAAGGAGACTGGTGAATGTTGACTCCTTGAATAAAGCCGAGACTATCATTTCCAGAGCAGAACAGATGAACTTAAGATGTTCTTCATCATTTGGAACACAAGCATTCTCTGAACTTCCTTTAACATTGTGAGAAATGGGAAGTGTTTTTTAATGGTTTTGTGACAAAGAACGCATACTTTCAGTGTCCACATTTGGGAGGCACTATTTCCCTGATACTTAGCTGCTGTGATTTGATTATATGTTCCCCCAAAGCCTCATGCAGTCATGGAGGCAACTGAGTCTAGCGTTTGTGATTGGTTTATTGTCTATCCCTGGGATTGGTAGTGTGAATGCTGCACCTGCCCAGGGACAGCTAACTAGCCTACAATACAAGTTAGGGAAGGAAGCTTGCCTTCCCCTTTTTGCTTTCTCTTGTGGTTTTTGCCACCATGAATGGCTGCCCCTCAGCCACAACTCCTTTCCTTGGCGTCAGCTGAGTGTGCACTTAAATCTCCAAAAAACTGTAAGCTACATAAACCTTTCCTTCATTCATGTTGGGTGTCAGGTGCTTTGTCTCAGCAGTGAGAGACAAGTAAACAAAACAATAGCTAATCACTCCAGAATGTAGCTGTGATCAAGGGACTGGTTTTAGCAATGCTGTGCAAGATATGTTTGATGAGACACATCTAGACTGAAAATCCTCCACTAATTATATTCTATGTGTTTTAGAATGCCACTGACTGTATAGCTGTCATAGTTCTTTTGTATTTTCAGGTATCTGAGCCACAAAACCCATGAGCCATGGGAAGAGGTATTAATACCTGGGTTAAAAACTGGAAGAAAGCTGCCTGATGCTCATGAATGGGCATCCTAAAATTTTCATTCATAAAATGTAATTTTCTATCATTTAAGAACCACTGTAAATACTTGAATTTGATATTGTTCCCTATATTATCTTTATTGAAATAAATGTGTATAGTATAATTTCTATTTCTAAATGTGTGATGCTTAACTTTACAGGTACTGAGGTTGAACCCAGGGTTTTTGATATTAAGTAAATCCCCAGTCCATGTCTGTTTGATTTTGTGACAGGCTTTCACTACATCATAAAGAAACCCAGGCTGGGCTCCCACTTGCTTTATTTCTGACTCAGTCCTCCATAGTGCTGTAGCTGCACATATAAATCAGTGTAATATTTGATATATGTAGCTATTGGATACCATGTAAGTTTAACTGATATAGGTTTGTACAGTATCATTTCCATTGCTAAATCTGTGGCAACTTTAACTTGATAGTAGAAGGTTGCCTATCTATTGATTGATAATTTAAGTATTAATGCAACTTCAGTCTTAACAGGTGAGCTGTGTATCTTGTTCATTATTATAAATTGTTAACTCTACATAGAACAAGATCTGGATTATAAAAATTATTTTTGAATATTCTACTAAAATAGTAATTCTGATAAACTGTATTTAGAGAAAGTATTTTAACTATTGCACAATACTGCAGACTATTAACAACCATGGTTAGATGACCATTATGAATTAACCAGGAAGGTTTAATTTCATTATAAATCATGAAGTCAGTGGAGGTAAAGGACAAATTTATTTGAAAAAAAAAAAAAACAAGAAAAATACAGTAAGAGTTATGGATGTAGAATTAATCTGCACTGTAGGAATGTGCACTGTGAAATACAGCAGTGGGAGTAGAAAACAACAGACGAATCCAGATTTGAGAGAGGAATCAAGAAAAGTTAACCATTCCTTGACATTAGAATTTAAGAATAAGAGAGAATCAAATATAAATTTTTGGGAAGCCAGGTTTGAACAAGTGGTGAAGTAACACCATTACTCAAGACAGAGGAAATGAGAGAAGAAGTGGGAGGAGGGAAGCATGGCAAATTTAGCTCTGGGAGCTTTAGATAAAGAAGTCTCAGGGAGCTCTGAATGAATATATTTACTAGGCACTTGAACCATAAAGCCTGGCCTTCGAAAGAGAAATTAGGATTTAAGACACAGGGTCCAAACTTTTTATTATAAGTGTGGACTGTGATGCTGTGAGAATAGTTTGTGGTAAAGCATAATAAACTCAGTAGAGAAAAAAAGGGCATATTGTCCAATAAGAATTGCTATTCATATTCCCCTCTCCTTGCGTTTAGGCTATTAAGTTAATGACTAGAAAGACGAAGTTTCAAAGAATGTTCTTCCTTGAAAACAATTACCTGAGGAAGAAGGAAATACTTCTTGTTTGCCCTGTGTATTAAAATCACTTCCAGTTTGTGGACCTGCCAAAAGATACCAGACAATGAGAGTTACTTATGATCTCAGATGTACTTTGTGCAATGCATTGCATACTCCCCATTGACCTCCATCCACAGGCAAAAGGGATTAACAGTCCCATCCAAGATGTGATTCAGGTGAACTCACTCTCAGCACTGGGAAATGAAAGGCTTTACTTTTCATAACTAGGTAGTTACTTAGAGGACAAAAGAATATCTGTAGTGAAAGTGAGACTAGGACATCATCAGAAATGGGAAACTGCACTTGATATGTGGATATCAAGGTGGCTCTTAAGATAAGTGCTACAGGTGTGTGCATAGGAATAAATCCTAACTAAGAGCTGGTTTTAGGGCACCAGCACTCACAAAACTAGTGTTGCTAAGATTTACCACAGCAGAAAAAATTACCATGATCTTCTGCTGAAATCAGAGGGAAAAAAAAAAAAAAAACTCAGTTCAAACATTGAGACAAGTTGCTGATGTTACCAGAGGAATATTTATATCTATAGAAGAGTTCATCCAAGAAAGGCTTTCACTTACAAGGTATTCAATTCTGCTCTCAAAATTGGTTTTTGTGTTATTAAACCTACGTCTTTAATGTCTAACTTTTTTAATTTTCTGAAAAATAAAATTTTATGATCAAATAGAGAGTAACAACAGTTTGTATATGGTGCATGATTGTCTTCACAGTAGCTTGGAGTATACGACATAGACCATAAAACAATTCTGACAGAGAAGAAACTAAGAGTAATGCAAATCTTACCTTGAATAACAGCACCAAGACTTTTTACTTTTATATTATTGAGACATGGTTTTGCCAAATTGATAAATTTCCAGACTGTCTAACTTGAGATCCTTCAGTTTCAGCCTCCCTGAGTGCTTTTATTATAGGCATGATCCATTATCCTCCACTTTCAATGTATTTTTCAACCCAGAATTAGGCAATTTTGTACAAAATCAGTAAATCTGCTTCACAAGGTTGCAAAAATATTTTATGTATATTCTTTATTCATATAATCTCAACTCTTTTAAAGTAATGAGACACCTATGGTGCTTAAAGACTTCTGAGGCACAGACAGACCATTTAACAAAGTGGCTCTAATGATATAGATGAGTGTCATAAGAAAATACTGCATAAACATCCCTGTAGGACTTATGCTACCCAGCCATTTTCTATAATTGTCTGTTCTATACTCTATCTATCCTCAGTTATGTAAACTTGACCAAAAGTAGTAATGAAATTAATAATAATAGCCATATTGGTTATATTTGCACTGGTCTTTAAGGAGTAACTCATTAGGTTATTTTCTGAAGGATTAAGTAAATTCCTAAACATGAGGGTATAAAACTGGTATATCCACCACATAAATGTTCATTGGTCTCCATTAAAAATTTTGGATTTTAAAAATCAAACCCTTCAGATGGCTCCAAACCTACTCCCTGGAATTTCCCAGGTGGATGCAACTTGCTATTAGTAACCTGGTTTCTCCTCTGAGGAGGAAATCCTGGAATCAACATTCAAATTATTTAGTCATACAAATTTAACTGTATCTTTTGTTAATAGTTCTACTAGATTGTATAGGATTGTCAAATTCAATGATAAAAATTGAATTGAATCTTATTTATACTGATAAAGAACTTGTAATAACAGCAGTCACCCAAGAAATTTGTCCAAAATCACAAATAACTTGAAAATTAGGAATGCCCCAAATTTATTTTATAATATCTAAAGAATACAAGTTTTCTTCAGAAAAATATATCCAACTCCCATTGACAGAGAGCCACATGATTTCCTACATAAATTTCAGCCTAAGGATTAAGGTTATATTTGTTCCATCTTTTTAATATTGACTATTGGACTATATTTATCATCAAAAAATTCAAGATATTTGAGGAGGCTTTGTTATAGTAATAGAATATTGCTATGACCTCTTCTCTAGAAGACCTTACCTATTAGTATACCTATTAGTATATCATATATTATCTTTAAGTGTTACAAATATGACCTGAGGAAAAACCTGAATGAAGAAATATCATCTAATATCTAGAAATTCGGGACTGGGGAATTAGTTCAGTGGCATAAGTGCCTGCCTTGCAAGTGTGTGGTCATGAGATCGAGTGCTGGTACTGATAAAAAAGAAAAAGACAAAAAAAAAATTAGAAATTCAGACTTCAGGTAGTAAAACAGTCACAGTAGGCTGTGGAAATGCCTTTGGGATTCAAAGACAAAAATGGAGCAAGGAAGAAGACAACTTTGGTTATTTTACAATCATTTCTGATCCGTAATGAATAGGAATTTTGTAGGATATAAAAAGAAAATAAAATAATGAGAGAAAATATGGAATTCATTGCACGTGAATAAATACAGAAAACACATACAATATCAATCATATAAGAAAAGGATTCTGACAACTTAAAAGGAATAATGTGTTTGGGATGTGAAAAAGAATTCAGTTCCTGGGAGTCCACGGTGCTGGTGGACAGTTTTGAATAAGAAAATACAAAGACTCAACTGAAAAAATGAGGCTATTAAAATCTTTACTTTGCTATAAATATTCAGTTTATTCTCTGAGTGTTCCCCCATCATTCAACTATAATATATTTTCCCAGAGAGGCACATTTTGGAACACATTTATGAGATGTGTTATATGCCTGTGTCTCCACATCAGATGAGAACATACATCCATAGTGAGTTTGAGATTTGACATTCATGACCCAGGAAAGTGACTTAAGTGTTAAAGTATATCATTTAATGCTTTTAATGTTTTTTATGAATTTCCAGAAATAAGTGAACATATAGGCAATATAGGAAACAGATGTCAGTGGGGAAAAAAGTCATTGAGACCAAACTCATGGGAAAACAAAGAGGAAATGTGCAGAATATCTGCTGACACAGGAGTGGAGTCCTGAATTGAGAAGTAAGGAAGATCTCTTCACACTAACAATATTAGAAAAGAAAAAGAGGAAAAAGACTGTTATAGTACTAATTTCTCTTAGTTCATTGTAAAGAAAAGTGTGTGCTAATAGCATCTGGAGAATTTTTGTACCTCTAACTTGTACTCTGAGTAAGTAATTTGAAGAAACAGTAACATTAATTATTGTTATACTCTTAAATTTTTGTTTCAAAAATTTTCCCATCAATTAATAAAAGAGAGAATAATAAATTAACCAACACCATAAAGAAGGAATCAGTTAATAAAAAATGTCAGATTTTGTATGCAAAGACACATAGACTATGTGAACATTAACTTGAGTCATCAAGCCTTACCCGAAAAGAATCCCAGTGTCCTAGCAAGGTGGCAATCTTCTTCATAAATATAATCAATACAAATCTGGCAGGCCTGGGGCCCTTTTCCAATGAGGCTATCCACCAGTGCTCGGGCCTTATCCATAACTGTAGAATTTCCACATGTTATAATCTGTACCTCTTCTTGGTTTAGTACTCGTTTCTCAAGCAATTCATCCAGCAAACCATTTATTGTACCTGTGCCAACTGAACGAACAAACTGCTTTCTTTTCTCCTTCATGGTCATGTCTGTTTGGAACAGAAGAATTTCTCACCATGAAAACAGCCACATTTTCCTCTCAGATGATCAGCAAGAAATAGTTACTTTAAGACTCAATTAATAAATCATCCATCTCCACAGAATTCAGTATACTCCAATTCTATTAGTAGAATTACCTCTATTGCTACACTTAGCTCTTCAACATTGTCCATCCATGCATATGGAGTGGCCTGAAGACCGAGAATTCCTATCCCTCTACTAAGTAACTGAAAAGCAGCAATTACTTTGTCGCATCTCATGTTAATTTACCTTTGAATAATCATAGCACAATAAAACCTCATATTCTTTGTGAGAACAGCTTCTGATACTGATTTTGTTTTGATTCAACTTTCTCTGGCAGACTTCAGACACTTAAGAGTTAAGGTTGCAAAATAGCCTAAATCCCGGTCCCATTCTAACACATGGCCTTACTTACTGACACCCCTCCTTCATAAGCTTCTCCTGTAGTTTAAACAGTGCAGTTTAAATCTGAGCTCTTTCTTCCTCTCTCTATTCTTTCCCCTCGATTCTGCTCACCTACACATTTACAAAAAGAGACACACACTTGCAAAGCTACTCATTCCCTAAGACCTGTCCTTTCATGAGTCAAAAATTCAAAAACTCACCAGCCATGGTTTTCTATTCTATCTTCTTGTATGATATGAAAATGAAAGTATCCCTCACTTCCTCTTTAGCAAGGCACATATATTTATTGAGAAATAACCACTCACCACGCATTTTTACTCTTTTATTTTCTTGAACAAATGTTAAATTCTTGGAGTTTAAAGCAGATCTGAGATTGCATTCATTGGAATTTTTCTTCCATGTCATTTGGAGCAGTTCTTGGTTCCTAGAGATCTAGGGCTCCCAGAACATAAAGTAAAATTTTTGTATAACTAAACTCAATAAAGAATCTACTGTTCGTTAAGAATTGTGATTCAGAAAAATAATTCAAACTGTGGAGAATTTGAACCACTCTTCCTACCTTCTTCTGCTACTCTGTGGAAAATCCAGAGGTTATATTACTGTCTGGTTTGTTTTTAGAAAAAGAAAGCCTTTTTATTTAAATCAAATGTTTCTGGTTAAATGCTCTTCCTTTTCAGGTGTATCTGTTCTGAGGTACTCTTTATCATACTAAGTAAAAGCTGGTGCTCTAATCTCAAAAGGTTGAACACAGTATTTTAATCTTTATTCCTAGGCAAGGTATTGAACTTTCTTCTGTATTTCTCAATGTGGAAAATAATGATGTGAATGTGTTACACATTATGTCTCTAAATTAATGGAAATTTTAAATTTATAGCAATTATTATGGCACCTATTTATCACACCATATGTTTTAGGATTTTAGTATCAATGTTTACTCAACAAAATGTACTAAAATTATTTACAGAATCTATATTTAATTTGATCTTTGTAAGAATCCTATTGTATCTCATCCATTCATTTACCTAGCAAATGAATATGGACAACACTGTCCACCCTAGGTTACAGATGCAGAAGTTTCAGTTAAAAGACCCCCTGTTCCACTGTCCCAGGGACCTTTGTTTGAAGAGTAAAAGACATGTTAGATTCCAGTATGTAAGCAGGATATTGAGAATGTGAATGTTCAGTTAAGTGCTAAAAAGAAGTCAATTAAGAAAATGGATGAGTGAATTTTGGAAGAGCCAGTATAGACTGAAGAGTAGAGCAAGAGCCCAGTGAGTTCACTACTTTGTGCATGCAACTACACATGCAGTTAATTATTCCAGAGCAAAATCCATTGTAGTCAATTTTATTAGTGTTTCAGGAAAATTGTTGGTATATTTTAAGTATGCATAATGGTTACATTCACCAGAGAGAATTTGTGCCTGTAAATGATATATCTTCCTTTTTTGTTTTTTCCCATTTGTCTGATTTCCCTCTAATCTATCTTTTCCTTATTTAAAAAGGCTTTGTTTCCATTTTTCCATCTATGCTCTTTTTTCCTTATTCCTTCCTACTTTCCTACTTTCTCCATTGTCCACTACTTTCTCCATTGTCCCTCTTTCAATTTTCTATCATTTTCCAATATCTATGAACATACGCAAATTAAATACACCCTCTTCAATAACCAGTGTACCCCAGATGAAATTAAAGATAAAATTAGACAAAGTTAATTATTAAACAATAATATCAATACATAGCGAAACTTAAGGGATGCAATGAAAAGAGTCCTATGAGGGAAATTTATAGGAATGAATTCCCATGTCAAAAAACTGAGTGAGCTCAAACAAACAACTTAATGTTGAACCTCAAATTTCTAGAAAAAGAAAGGTAAGCCAAGAACAAAGCTCACACAAGGGAAGACATTCTAAAGATCAGAGCAAAACTTGATGCAATTGAGGCTAAGAAAATACTGTAGTCAATTTCATTTTAGATATATTTGATGAAACATTTACCTATAAAAATTCATATTGTTATGAATTAAAAACTGGCGATCAACTTACACCAGCTGAATTAAATCGGCTTGGTACTGAGTGTAAATGGCTCCATGAGTAAAGTTCATGTCCTAAAAGGAGCTGTGGAAAGGAAGAGTGAAGCATTGTGTGTTCTCATAAGTATTGTTGCTTGGAGCCATCGGTTCACCTGCAGGAGCTTGTCTTGACTGCCCCCCCCCCCTGATATGAATCTAGCCATTGTCATTGGAGGAACTAGGGACTTTGTTGCTGAGAGTATCTGTGGTTCAGTTTTGGGGAGCTCTGGCCCTCATATTGAGCATTTCTTCCTGGGTACAGAGGGAATGATGTGCGCTGTTTAAACTACAGGAGAAGCTTATCTACTATTGCTAAATTTAGCTCTTCAATATTGTCCATCCTCACATGTACTCCACTATTCTTGTAGGAGGAACTCAGGGCCTCACTGTTGCTAAGGATCACTGTCATAATTTTCAGGAGAGCCCTGCTCTTTACACTGAGCATAGTTTCTTGACTCCAGTATAGAGCCCTTAGCCTACCAACCCAGATCTTTCATCTCACTGGCTAGACTTTGCACCTTCCACCACTGACCTTCCCACTAGGCCTTCCCACTAGGCCTTCCCAGTGCAGATACATAAAACAGACTTGCATGAGGCCTTGTTGTGAGCTCTAGACCTCCAGTTAGAGTTTCTCTGGCATTTTCTATGGCTCTGGGTCTTCAGCTGGACTCTGCAGGATATTACTGAGATATACAGGCCCTAGGATGAATTTCCTAGGTCATTAGTGTTGTAGACAGATTTCCTGCACTGTCTTGTATTTAACTCTGGATGACTATCATAAAATACTATTAAAAATTCCATGTCCTATATGTAATTGTTCTCCTTGTAACCCTTGATTACAATGCATATGTTATGCCTTCAATTTTATCAATTTTATTATCAAATAGTCTTGGATACAGATGAATGTCCCCTCCCACTGTTTTTTCAGCCATACCTCATCTACTCAAACTGCCCACAGTGGCTTCATCTTACACAATCCATAAAAACTTCCAGGTTTTTAGAAATGAAGTTGAGACTGTCAATTCTATAACTGTCAGCTGTTAGACATTGAGTCGATCAGGTCTCAGAAGTCTATATCCCAGGTGGCAGAAGCCTTAAGAAATTGGGCAGGCATTGCTGATTTTTATTACAGCTTAAGAAGCTTCCAAGACAGTGTATTACTGTGGCCATTTGGATGCAAATCAATGTAGTTCATACACCAATTCCTTACAACATATATCTAAAAGAAACATTTCTCTGTGAAAGATATTCTGTAAAAGTGGAAAAAGCAACTGGTCTTCCTCATGTACAAATGTTCACATAAGGACACAAAAGTATACTAAAAGAAGGTAATGAGATAACTCCAATGGAAAATAGCAATTCCTCAGCAACATACTCTCTGCAACAGAGGAAATTTCTGAAAATGAATTAAAAGCAATAATTTTAAGGGTAAAAAGTTATAAAAGAATATATACAGATAAATCAATAAAACGAAGCAAAGAAATCATGATCTCAATGAGAAATACAGCAACAATAGAGATGTAAATAGCAATAAACATAAATCTTGCAATGTAAGAATTCAATATACAAACAAATAAAAAATATAATTGAGAGACTTAACAAAAACTAGACCAAATGGATGAATTTCTAAACTTGAATACAGATCTTTTGAAATAACATAGCCATATTTTTTGAAATAAAAAAAAAAATGATGTGAAGAAAATCTACAAGACATATAGGATTCCATTCAGGGAAAACAAGCACAATATACAGGAATTTGAGGAGAAAAACAGGAATAAAGAAAAGCCCAATAAGACAAATTCCATAATGTAATAGTTGAAAACATTTCAGATAAAGTTTCAATTATTTTATTAATGAACAGACTAAGAGTAGACACAAACCTTTGTGAAACCATAAGTCATAAAGAAATTATTCTAAACTTATTTACTGTGGGACAGAGATGAGGGGTAGTATGCCAGAAAACATGATGGAGGCCTAATTGACCTCTGTGAGCTAAGGACAAAAACCACAAGCTGTGCTCCTTTGTTGACATGCCAACATGCTAGCGCTTTGCAGGTTTCAGGAATCCAATTGTTTACCTGAGTATATACTATAGATAAAAGAAGACAGAGACTCTTCTACTCTAGTCATTTAAATAACAGCAAGGTAAACTAGATGGTTATATAATTCCTTTTCCACTAGAGGCAAGACTCCATTGGCCTCCTCTGTCAAAAGTAACAGCGTCTTGTCCTTAATCTCCATTCACCCACTTTTGGTTAGATATTGCTAGCAAACTGGTTTCCTAAAAGTGGTACCCAAACAGGGACTTGACAGGGAAGGTCACTGGAGTGGAAGGTGTAGTTAGTAAGCAACAGAGAGTTTCATGTCAAAGGGAAAACAAAACTGAGCAAAGAGAAGAAAAAAATGATCAGGAGACAAGAAAAAAGTAAGCAAAAGAAAAAGAGCAGGAGAAAAGAAAATTGGGAGAAAAAGAAAAGGAAAAAAATGAGCAAAAGTAAATTTGAACATAAGTATGTGTGGAAAACTCTCAGCCAGGTTAATGAGGCTAAAAAAAGGAAAATAAAATAAAATAAAATAAAATAGAAAAAGTGCATGCAGATAACTTTCTCAGCCAGGGTAATGGGGCAGAATTTGTTGATCGTAATATAGCATTATGCCTCTTAATTAGAAATTCTGTTGCACCAGTCAAGCACTGAAGTCAATATTCAGTTGTTTTTCCATATTTTACAAGATGCTATCAAACATAGTCTATGGTTTCCTTAGACTGACACATTCAATGTAGAATGTTAGGAGAAAGCAGGTGAAGATTTGGAGCATGCTTGCATCCAGGGCTCTGTTGCTTCCCCCAAAATTTTCTGTATATGGAGCTTGGACTCTGCAGTTTAACTACAGGAAAATATCCCACATCTAGTGCATCCTTAGAAAAGTTAAAAATGAGGGTGTAGAGTTTTGATTCCCTTCTTCCCCTTTCCCCCTTTTTCTTCTTTTTCCATCTGTGATAGATACAGAAGTAGTGTCTCCTAATCAAAGGCTGATTAGAAAATATTAGGCTTCTTCAAAAGTATAATTTTTAGTTGTGGCAGGTGTCTTCATGGACAGAGTACCCAATCCCAGAGGAGGAGGGTACAACTATCCTTCCCCCAAAAGGGAGGGCACCAGTCCTCAGTCCTTGATGTCAAAAAAGGAAAT